GGGACAGATTTCTGTGGGCTAAAGAAAGAGTACCAGACAAACTGTGACATGGTGCAACAATGAGTGGTGGGCATAGTGAAAGGTTTTGTTTTTGTGACACACATTTCACACCTTCCTATACCAGCTTCCTTTGGGGCTCTCAAAATTAAGTTGCATGAAGTAAAGCTTCAAAGGAAGTTGGTTCCAGAGGACTTCCCTAGACTTGTAATCACAGGTGAGAACAGGGAGCAGGTAGCTATACAATGCTCAGCATGTGCCACTGACTGCAGGTCCACTTGATAGATTTCTGAATTGTGAAGTATCTTCATTCAGAGCCACCAACTCAACATGTCTTATTAGTACTATGCCCAGGTGTCAGACCCCCCCGTCCCCCCGCCCAGTCCCCCCCTGACCATAACAGAGGCAAGATTTACACAGAACCACCATAGGTAATGATCAGTGGTAAGCACATTTTTTACACATTCCATCCACTTCGAAACTGAATAATACATGATGGGCAAGTTTACCATCTTAAAATTAGATTATGCCATAATTATAATAAACACCATTTATTTTTTCTTACAGATCTGCTGTGGCAAAGTACTTACAGTGTATCAGAGTTGGGTATTAGCAGCTCACATGGCATTCCTCCAGCATAGACCCTGTGATATAACAAGAAATGGCGTTACGATCTTAAAGAATGTTAATTAAAACAAAAGAATTATATAAAGTAAGGTCATCAAAGTAAATATAGATCACATTTTAATAATAATACATTATATAAACAATAATTTTATTGGGTGACTCAGTGCTATTCTTATCTGTGCTTAGCTTGTGCTGACATCAGAAGTTGGTTTAGGGGTAACTTTGTTTTGGTATATCACCAAATCTGTGTTTACATCAGAGTCCTAATCAGACTGTTTCTGTTGAAGCACATACGATCAAATGGCACAATGATCATTTCAAAGAAGAATTGTAACTTTCAAAAGAAGGAATTCCAGCAGAAAATCCAACAAAATTCAACCAAATCAATCTGTTTAATTATTGAAAGTTTTAAAGTTTTGCACCATGTGATAATATAGACACATTTTATAGAATTAGCTAACTAATAAACAACTATTCACAAAATGAAATGATCTGTTTTCATTTGCATGGGATGGGGTATGATCTCTCATTAGGGCTTCACTGGTATTAGAGACTACAGTGGTAAGATCTCCTCCTTTACTAAACACTTCATTGTAATATATGCCCATCGCTTGGTGACACAAGAAGATCAGCTGAGAAGTTAAGCACTGTATCTGTCAATTCAGAGATAAGGGCAAGATGTCTCCACTTAGGTCCCAACAGCTGGAAATGCTGATTTGAAACAAAAATCTGCTTCCTTCCACCCATAAATCACTTTGAATGGAGATGCTCTTTTAGGCCCCATTCCCCCTTTTTTAATGCAGATCTGTCTGCAAAAACTGTCAGGCTAGACGCTCTTTTGTATGCTTTTAGATGCTGAACATGATCCACCTTTACGTGCATTTACACACATATGCTTGTCGGTGCATCTGTCCTTTGTCTATTGAAACAATCCATTGACGTAACCAGTGAGATTACATGTGTTTGGAAGCTAAAAATGTTTCCCGGATGCACCTGACTTCTATTTTTCCTAAGCGCAGCTAAACTGACTGTATCTCAACGCAAAGTGTGAATGGATTCATTGGAAAACATTAGATGCATTTATATGCGTTTAGAAAACCATTAAAAAGGTATATAAAAGCACCTAATCGCACCCTAGTGTGAATGGGGCCTTAACCTTCAGTTGCTGTTAATCTTCAACTCCCATAGCCCTCTACAGTAGCATTAATAGAGGAAGCTTTATGAATTGTGGCTTAAGAATAAAAAGTCATGATCCTTACCTTAGCACCCTGACATTTTTCCCATTGGAGCTTAAAGCAGTATTACTGCCATAGACATCAGTGTAGATTTTACCTACAATAGTGATCATTGAACCTGCAGGAGAAAAGAAAATATTCTGTCATGTAGTAAAATCAGTCACAAACTAGAGCATTTGTCATAAACATTTTCCAATTGTGTATAGCTGGCAAAAGATATACTTTACCCAACAGCACATGACATATTTTTGGACTGTACTTTTCTAATATTATGCAGACATCCCAACTCTCCCGGACGCTCCGGGAGTCTCCCACTATAAGATAGCAGCTCCCTGATGCCCGCGAGATAAACATTTTATCCCGGAAAGGTTTACTCTGCTCTATCTGGCAGAGTAAACCTTTCCGGGATAGCTGGTGGTTCTACTCCCCCTGCTATCTGTTTTTTTTTATTCGTTTTTTTCGACAGCGGCCGCTGGCCCATCAGAGTAAAAAAAAACCCCAAAAAACATATAGCATGGGAATGCACAGCCAGGCAACTATAGGCTCTTTCACTTTGCAATTTTACTTTTTTACCCGCCCACTGCTGCTGTCAATCAGCAGAGGTCAATCTGAAGTTCTCCTTCAGGTCCTCCTCTGCTGATTGACAGCAGCAGTGGGTGGGTGCAATAACCAGCCTTCTATTGGCTACTGCAAACTAAATAAAACGAATAGAAGCCTAGCTATAAATTTCCATGCTATCTGTTGTTGGTTTTTTTTAAATTCCGATGGCGGCCGCTGTCAAAAAGAAAGGGCACCTCCCTGAAATAAGGTTTTGTAGGTTGGGATGTCTGTGATGGGATGTCTTATGAGGTCCTGGAGTACTGAGGGCACTACTGTGTGACTGCACAGAAATATATCCAGGTAGCTATAGCTTCTGGAAAGTAATTATTAACAATTCTATGATATCTCTATAAAATAAATAATTGTGTCAGTGATATGACTGCATGTACACCTCATCCACATGGCACTGAAGAGAAGCAAATCATAGAGGTGAGCCCTGAATTTATGTGGATGTAAGAAAATTCTGGAGGATTTGACAATACCCATCAATCCTGGTAATGTATCTGCCCATCTATGACTGACCTTAAAGGAAGTCAGAATTAAAAATAGGAGGTGCAATTTCTGACTTGTTTTAAAGGTTCCCGGACTGTTATCCTTATCCTTCCACCATTATTTTGTGAAACTCATACCTGGAACTAGCATGTACATATCAGGTGTTGGGACAGTTATTATACACATGTTTCTTCTAGTACGGTGCCTTTTTAAACTAGTTATGCAAGGATGACAGCCCAGGAACCTGAACCTTCAAAGACAGCATGGCAGCTTCCATATTGCATTGCTGACATATTGCATTTTAGTTATTGATCTAGTATGGCAGAGGTCTTTGTAGTGGGACTGCAGCAGAACCAGGGGTCTTAGTGCAAGATTACCGCTTATCTCTCTGAATGCAACAGAGATTTATATTGTCAGCTGATAAAAATAAAATGTAATTTGAATATTGTAATACATACCTGGGCTTCCAGATACAGGTGATATGCTGCTTATAACAGGGGTATAGTACATATGAGGCTGAAAATAAGGAAGATTGAACCTATTAAGAGTTGCTCTTAGAAATACAAATACATCTCAATACATAGCATTACTCTGGAAAGATAATTACAATATATATTTGAATTCTCAGCTCACATGGTAAAAAGTCTGCAAAAGCAAAAAGTTTCAATGTAGTTAGGTCTACAACCCCTACTTGAGAGGATACACCACACTACAGCCTACAGGCAGTGACCAGAGAAGGGCCAACGTTTCGCACCAGTTAGCCTGTGCCTCATAAAACACCATTCTCATTACCATTCTCATATGTTTAAACAATATCAGGAGTCACTGCAGGAATTTTAAATGTACAGCCTTAAGACCATGTCCAGACTAGATTTGGAGCAGTTCTAGTGCCTTCCGGTGTAGGTTTTTTTTTGTTAGCTTAAAATGGGCTTTCAGGTGCAGTCAAGTGCGTTTGCATGCATTTTTTAAGCGTTTACATGCGTTCCAGAACAGAAAAAATAGTACATGCTGCATTTTTTTGCCCGCACCGGAACGGACTGCACTGGTGTGAACAAAGTCCAAAAATACCATAGGAATACACTGAGATGCATTTCAGGTACGGACAAAAACCGTTCTGGTCTGGACATGGTGTGAACAAACCCTGAGGAAAGAAGGGAAAGAGAAGACATGAAACCATGAAATACATTAAGGGTCGGTAACACCTATTCCAGTGCGTTCCAGCACGATTAGCTTCTGGAATGCACTGGATTGCATCCTGGCTGGCTCTCTGCATTCTGGGGCGGGAGGGGGTGTCAAGTGTCAAGTCAATGGCACAACAGCCAGCCCCCCGCCCTTTCACACCCACAGTGTGATTGCCTGCACCGCAACAATGCCTGCGTTCCGGTCCAGTGCGATCACAAAAAATAGTGCTTGTGCCCAGAACGCAGGGAGCCGGCCAGGATGCGATCCAGTGTGTTCCAGCCGCTAATCATTCTGGAACGCACTAGAATAGGTGTGAACCGGCCCTTAAGCAGAAGTCTGTGCTAATCAAATATTTTCTAAATAGAAGAGTCACGTGCATTTTTACATGTATCTTGGTATCCTTTGTGTATGCATGCATGAAACAACTCTTGTACGTTACCTCTGTTCAGGAGTTTCCTGTACTAATATTTGTGCCGATTGTAGGGGGGGGGGGCTGCTTCGCTTACCTCATTCACTGCTGCTCTCTTTTCTTGTATAGGGCGACTGGTCTTGTATCCGCCTATAGTGTTCTGCAGGCAGCCTGTAGTAAGTGGACCTAATAGATCCCTCCCAGAGCTCTGCTCTCTGCACAGGCTATGTGCAGCACAGATACGATGTTATCACTATTTTTACAAAGTAATAGCTACATTTTTAAAGGTATCTGGTACACACATTTATAACCCTCGTGGCTATTAAGGAATATATTTCAATGAGACATTTTGTGCCCGCACTACAGCAAGTGTGTGTATCTTCAGTATAAAGCTAAGCTCAAGGACAAGGGGGAATGATCTCTCAAATTAGCAGGAAAAAAAGTTCAAACTAACCTTAGAAAATATTATTTTATGGAAAGAGGGAGAATGAACAAACAGGATTGTTCAAAGAACAACATTGTTTATTGCCAGCAATAATAAATGGGGGTTCACCTCATCAAAAGGTTGCTGGATGAGCAGAATCACCCACCTATTTCGTATCTAAGGAAGAAGATCACTGCACATTCAGCCTGTTATCAAAATGAAACCTGGCTCCACTGGGCAACTCTTCCTCTTGTAAAGGGAAAAGCCTCCTATGTATCCATGACCTCAATATGCATGCCATTCAAAGAGAGGAACTTTTAGTGGCCAATATTAAATAGACTTGGAGCAAATTATTTGTTGTCCTTGGTGCTTCGTATAGCTCTTGGGGACACATTTTGCAGGAGCTTTTCTCCAGCCATTACGATAGGTCTCCTTCTCCACATTGAATTTTCTATTGATATGGTATTAAGTTGCAGAAAATACTGCAGGAGAAGCCAGACTCAATGACAAGGAGGAAAGATCCACTGAAGTACCCAACAGATATAAAAAGCAGGGTTCATAATGGGAGAGCCACAACAGGATACTCACGTATTTAAACTTGTGATGGTGATCTGCACATCTGCACTGAACTGCACTGAACTGCACGGTTCTACTAATTCAGCACAAACTGAAGCTTAAAATGCTAAAGATGGGTTTAGATAAAGATAATAATAGCAAAGTCAACAAAGGATGGAGATAAAAACGACCAGGCTTTTTATGCTGCACGAATGACTTTACAAAGGTCACTGTAAAAGTGCAGACAGTCTTGTGTCTCTAACTTGTTTGACAATAAACAGGTAAAGGAAATTTCAAACTGCTTTTTGGTTGGGACATCACTATGATATGTCAGTTTTGAATGTCTAGAATACAATACACGCAAAAGCAAAGGTTGCTTCTCATTAAATTTCCAGCCCAACCAGTCTGCATTCCCCTTTAATGGTATTTTCATTTAATGGTATTGAGCTGGGCATTACCAAGTCCAGTCTTTTTAACTGGGTAAATATTGATCAGACAGGTATAAATGTTTTGCCCACACATTATTTTTTATGCCCTGTGATATGCAGCTCCAGGAGCTGTCTATTTTTGCCACCTTGCTCCTCCCCCATCCACTTTCCATTAAGTTTAGAGGACTGTTGGCTGACAGATATACTTCCAAGAGGCCAGATCAGGCCTGCAAAGTGCTTGAGTGCCTATGACATCCATAAGGATTGCCATGCATAGTGCAAGAAATGCAAGCAAAGTAACAGATTTATCCCCCACTAACAACAATTAGATAGATGATGCCATCAAGTGGTTTGAAAGTTTATGAAAGCCAATTTATAAATCCTCCACTCAGCCATACCCTGGGCAAATGGCATTTGTAATGCATTCTCACCACTACATGGAGTTGAGGAGCATATTTCCTTTACTTCTCAGCTCCATCTAGAAGCTGGAATGCTGTGGGAATGTTTTTTCCCTAGTGTATCGTTAGCTCCCTAGTGTCTGAAACACTCTTTATTTCATGAAGGAACTGTCTAGCACATGGGCAAAACTAGGGGGTTATTAATTATAGAGCCGAAGGATTCAGCCGTAGCTTGGACTGATCTTTCGGCTCGCTTCGGCCGCATCTGCCCTTCAGTTTAGATAATAATTTTGCAACTTTTTTTTTACTTCTTTTCTATTCTGCTCGGTCCCTCGGAGGTATTCGGCTATACACTCACTGCCATTCGACACCTATGAGAATAGGGGCGGACATCAGCGAGTGAGTAGCCGGAGCTTCGACTCAGCTGATCCAGATGTTGGATCGGCTGAGTCAAACTCCTTCTGCACTTTGGCTCGGCCGAAGGCAGCCGATGTACGGCTGATTTTAGTCGATGTACGGCTGAAATCAGCCATACAAGGCTGAAGTGAATAGCCGAACAGCGTTCGGCTCACTTCACTTCGGCTGGGTTATTTACTCGGCTGTCTTCGGCAGCTTTGTGAATAACCCCATAAGACTGAGCAAATCAATCACACATTTCTATGCTGAACTAGTTATAGAGATAGAATAGTTCAAATAGGAGTGGATGGATCTTCCACAGCTTTAGTTCTTGGTAGGTGGTTTGCCTCACTGTAGCTTCCATAAATTACTATGGATTGACAGCTCACTGTTAATCATGTTACTATGACTTCCTTCACATATCACCTCAGCTCCAATGCCTGGACCTCATGTTGCCTCACAGACAGAATCACATTCTGTAACTGCCTGTCTGGATGATTTTCAGTACACCAGATTCCAACCATTGCCAAAGATCAGGAAGAAATGCGTATTTTGCTGTGGAGATGGCAATGGCAACCAGAACAATTAGAGAGGCAGGATGAAGGTGAGAACGTGGCAATGGCAGTACATTCAACATGTGTGACCCATTGTAAATGCATGAGAACAGGAGAATGGGCTTAAAGTAAGGGTTAGGAGCTGATCGTGACTCGGGTACCAATATAATGTATCACCAGAATTGTCATTAGTGTTCAGCAGTACCTCTACCATGGCATTCAATTGTAGACATAATACCTTATTTGAGCTTCCTTCTGTTTTTATTCTATCTTACAATACTTTCCACTGTCTAGGACCATGACGGTAGAAAATCCAATAGTGACAGACTTATGAATACAGTTATGCTTCCTCTTATTATCAGCATGAAAAGTGCACCAATGAATACAAGCAGACTGAAAATTGAGAAGGATGAAGGTGATTCTTCTCTCATCTATATGTCTTATGCTCTCAATCATGACCACTTCCCTCACAATGATTGCAGGAGGACAAGCACTGTTACATGAACCAGTTTTGGGAAATCACAAAGCCTAGGTAACATTGTTGTCCACATACCTGGAACATACACCACCAGTACTGGAAGTAACCATAGCAAATGTTTGCTGTGTCTACAGGTACTCCGTCTACACTCACTCTCACGCTGTAGCTATCTGCTGGCATAGGCCTGTATGGGAGAAAGTAAAGCTTTTTATTATATAATAACAAAATTGTGCCTGTTCATGGAACAGGAAAAATACAGAAGTGCATGTCTTTAATATGCATATTTCACATTTTTATCAACAATTTTTGGTTCTGGTAAATGTTCAATTAAATAAAAACCTATTCTAAATGCAATGGTAATATTCATGGAAATACAATAAATATTTGGAGGATCCTCTCCATTTATCCTCTCTACATATTTTTTTAAAAAGAAAGAAAACAGCCTTGGTCCTACAAAGTTATGATTACATTCAGTTTGTGTAAGCAATTGTATACCGAGTTTCCACACCCAGTATAAGTGAACAGAACAGTGCCTGCTCTCTAAGAAGAGTCTTCATTGAGGGAGAGAGCTCAGAGTAGACTTTACCTGTATAGTGTTGCTTACCAGTAGTCTACAGATGAAGAAAGTACATCTAAATGCTCCTGTCTGAGCCAAATCCTTCTCCATTTGTGTCTCAAATGTTTCCCCTGCCAGATACTACAGCTCACAGTGGGAGGGTGTCAGTAATGCAGACAGTGCTGTCAATCCAGAAAGCAGTGGGCAAGACTAGGTGTGGCAAGGTGCTGATTGACAAACTACAGTATTTGTGAATCAGCAGTGACAATGCTGATACAACATCTTCTCATCCTACTGTGGTACAAGCAGGCACAGCCTACATGAGGGTGACTCAGGAGCAGTGCAGCATCGTTGCTACACCATCAAAGGAATCTGCATAAGGTGAACATTACTGGATGAATTAACAGGTGTTTTTCCCAGGACAGGACACAAACTGCATTAGTTGTAAAATTTTAGGATTATAACTCATAATGCTATTGTGAAACTGACAGAGAGATCCTTTTACCCTAAATGTGAGCTGGTGAGAGTGAAAATCTCTATATACTTTTAATATTAGCCAATAAATGGTATCACTTAAATTTCCAAGCTTCTGCTTTTTAACAGTCGATGTTTGTGCTTAACACATACTGCAGCTTAATGTCAGTTACCACTTAAAAGTTATTTCCAACAAAGATTACCCTGACTATTCCTCCTTCCCTCTAAACCCCTCCATGTGTGCCTTTCAGGTATCTACTAGTACCTGTAGCTGCTGTTAGAAATATCTTTTATATTGCCACCTGCTGGTGAAATCTGGTATTATACAATACACACAGCAGTGTTCTCTGTTGCCTACAGAAAGAGCTTCTCCCTGGTTTTTTTGTTGTTTTTTTTTGAAACAATGTAACTCTTTCCAGATAGTTAGATACCACTATTATCCAGGTATTTTAGAGTTTTTACCCAAGTAAGAGGTGAGGATAAATCATACAATGTGCACAAATGTTTGTGTGACAAGTGTCTATGATGGGACTTCGCTTCTCCTCCCAATGGGGAGATTTCCTTTCATTTCCTGATGTATCTTCAGGACAAGAAGTGAAGGAAAACTTTCCAACAGGAGACAGACAGTAAAAAATAACCTTATAGGGCTTTTAATTCTTCTCTACTCTATTTAGATTATCTGTGTTTTGTATGCACAAGGGCTTTTCATTCTTCTCTAATCTAACAGGCTAGCTGTGTTTTGTATGCCCAGGTCTATTGTTTGTAGAGTGGATTGGGGAGAAAATACCTGGTGTAGCAGGTTATTTGTGTTGCGTGACTGGCATCTTTCTCCACATCACATGGGATTGAACGGGTGGAGGAGACAAGCTGGACACTGTTCCCCAGTTGGTCATTCCCATCTCCGTAATTGAACTGGTTGGCTTCTGCAAAACCTGGAGAATGAGGATAATACACATGTGAGATTGGATTACTCAAATGTACCTGTCACACATTAAGAGTGGAAGTGGATATTTTCTGAGATGAATCAATACCGAGTCTGGCAATACATTTGAAAATAAAGACATAAATGCAGCTTGAAATATTCTGAGGTGTGGTACTTGGTAATTTTAGGTGATACTCCCTGGGTATTGTCTTTACGCTATTGGATTGTTAGCTGTCAGAATCTCTTCACCTGTGTCTCAACCATGTAGAAGCAGATAAGCAGAACCCTCATGCAAATGTACCCCCTGCTCTAACATTCAAATTATTTTACAAACTAAATATGTGTTTTACTTTGATGCTTTTCAGTCAAAATTCTTGCTGGGAAATACAAAATACTTTAACATAGCTTTGTCACTAGGAATATATCAATGAAGGGTTTATAAAGAACACCCGGCACCACAGTGTGACTGTACAGCCTAAAGCTGCCCACACACCTTACAATTTATCTGCAGATTTTCTGTGGTCAGATGGAAAAGGTGCAACAGATTCCTCCATCTACACTTAAATGTGTGGATACAGTAATCTCCACCTGGGCCAATCTGTTGCACTTTTTCCATCTGACCACAGAAAATCTGTAGATAAATTGTAAGGTGTGTGGGCACCTTTAGACATTCCTGGTTTTGAAGAGGAAGGTTTTTCACTTTCCATTGGTATCAAATAATTAAAGTGGCACTAAACTCAGGAGTTATATCTTAAAAATGCCTTTAAGTACCATAACTAGTAATAAAAATGTATCTTATTTGTGTATCACACGGCTGCAGATCCTTAAATCATCTCTGAATTGGTACTGACACTGTCTTTCCTTCTTGAGGGTGGCTACTTTTGTTCCCCCTGGACCCTGTGTGTGTTGCAATGTGGCCACTGTTCCAAGCTTGCCCTCGTGATGGACTACTAAATCTGAGATTGTACCCCATCATGGGAGTGAGCTTGGACTGTTGGCCACCTTAAAACACACACAGGGAACATGAGGAAGTAAAGTAGTGACATTCCAGAAGGAAGGACAGTGTCAGCATGAGTTCAGAGATGATTTGAGGATCTACATCTGAGTGATACATAAATAAAGATACATTTTTGTTAATAGTTAAGGTACTTGAATGCATTTTTAAGGTTTAAGTCCTGAGTTTTGTGTCACGTTAAGGTTTTTGTGTGCGTTTCTTTGGCCTTAATGCAAATAAATGCGCATTACATTCCCACAAGGGAATGCAGAAATGTGACTCCACCCTAAAATATTTTGAAAACATTGATACCACCCGTCTAACCCCACTGCACTTGGGATTGACCAATAAGTGCTATTGCAGGGAATGCGAAAAAAACAAATATTTTGGTTGGGATCTCTCTCTTTTTTTTTAACCTATTGCTCGCACTTGCTATTTAAAAGGTCATCTTGGATGGTGCTATTATCTGTGTCAGTACATTCTACTCATCTCTAACAAATAATGGCTTTTCATTTGGTAAGGGAGTACAGTGAGGGATCTTTATATCTATATCACTTCACGCAGATTAGTTTATACTATCAAATTTCAGAGTATTATAGCCAGTCACCACTGACGTATGTAGCTGTCTACTTCAAAACTTTCCTGTATTGTGAAATAGCCATGGGATTTCTAGAATGATGGGAATTTACACTTTGATATCTATCCTTTTGACCTGCTCATACAGGTTCTATCAGTTGCAGTCTTCTGTAATGGGCGTGTAAAGAACATTTCCTGAGAACTAAGTGATGATCCACGCTTATCAGTGAATGCATATTGAGCCTAATAAGACATCTGTCAGCCTACGCAGAAGCTTATACATAGTTTGTTCCATAACCGTATCTGGCCTCCTCATTGTCTTACAGTTGTCTAGTTTGATGAGAACTACTTCTGCAAAATATACCGATCCATTCTTTTAGAGTGACACTATTATAGGAAAATTAGAAATATATAATGCAGTATTTATAAAGGTCATAGAACAGTGTGAAGAAAAATCTAGACTCATTAGCATCAAACACATCTAAGCAAGTAATAACAGACGATGAAATCATAACTTTTTATATTTAATCCCGCCCTTTGTTACCTTGGAACAAATGCTTACTTCAAGGCTGCAGTAATAGAAATACATAAAATGTAAAGGTTACAAAACCTTATCCGCAGGATGCCTATTTTTTTATATTTTTGCACGTTCTGAGGAAACAGGTGACTTTGAGTTAAATGTTCATTCTATAGACAAGACATAGAGTATTTTACCAGCATGCTGTGGATCTTAGTCCAAAATGCTTTTATTGACAGTCTATAGACTAGAGATGCACAGATACCGATAATAGTACCGGTGCCGAGTATTTGGGCGAGTACTTGTACTCGGCCAAATGCTCCGATGCCTAGCCTGATACCTGAGTTTCCGGTATCACTTGGTGATGAGGGAGGATAGAGCCGGCTTCCCGGCCAATCAGGAAGCCGGGCAACGAGTCATTACATGGTGTCCGGCTTTCTGATTGGCTAGAAAGCCAACGACATGCTTCCTCATCACTTGGTGACGAGGGAACATGGAGACGGCTTCCCTGCTAATCGGGAAGCCGCGCGGCGAGTCATTACATGCTGCCTGGCTTCCTTAATGGGACAGCTGGTATCGGTATTTGGTATCGGCGAGTACAGAGAAAAAAAAATATTGGTACTCATACTCGATACCGAAAAACCGGTATCAGTGCATCCCTACTATAGACAAATCACCAGAAAAGTTGGGATTTTCCATCTGACCCATGTCGTTAGGAACAATCTCTTTGCATTTGTGTGTTTCCATCTTGAGATAATTAAGTGAGTGTATGTGCAATACACATGTGCATATTCTGTACCTGGAACCATCAAATCAATGTAATCTGATGTTATCTGACACTATCACCAAAAAGTATATTATGAGATTTTCTCAGCAGATGAGATCATCAGTCATCGGTCTTTATGGAAAGAATATTCATTAGAAAGAATTTGTGAAAATGTGGAGAACACTGGCCTATGTCTATAGCTAGTCCTAAAGCACACCTGTCATTTTGCTTTTGCAATACTTGGTGCCTGAGTGGTCACTTGCCAGACCTAAGCACTGTCACTTTGGGGTAGAAGAAGGTCATAAGCCCTGTGTAAGCTCTAACACAAACTGAAACAGAGCATACACAAGGCTTTTAACTGCAGGCTTCGGCAGCTGGAAGGGGTGGAAGGAAGGTAAGGGAACCAAAAACCAACATAGGGTGGACTGTCAAAAGTCTTGCCTGAAGGGCAAAAAAAAAGCTTTAAGATAACATGTTACAATCTGATTGCACAAGCATCCTACTAACAACAGCAGTGCAAGGGCCTGTCTGACTGAATGCTAATTGAATACATTGTTTACGCAGGTCGCTACACTACAGAATTATTGGTAAATCTAAAGGATAAAGTGAAGCTTTGACTAAGGCTACTTAGGCTTAAACACGTAAGCAACTTTTAACTTTGTGAGCAGCACAAATCTACAATAAAGCAAAATTTGAAGGTACTGCTGTGTGCCGGCATTCATATAATGTTTATGTACATTGACCTCACAAAGAGGGCTTTTGCTGTGCACCACACTGGTATAGTGCAGGGTGATATTGGAGTTTGAATGGTCTACTCCTGGTCCAGAGGTAGTAGAATGAAACATGTTTCAAACTGAAACGTGTGTGATCAGCTTTAGACTTAAAGCTCATCAAAAGCAATGCTATCTCATCACTTTGCATCTGTACTAATGGTTTAATCATGGACGTAATACAGTACTTGCCAGTTATGTAAAAGATCTTTTGTACAAACATAAAGAACTTTTCATAAACTGTAACAATCTTATCTACCAAAAAAGATTTTTGATTCTCACTGCCACTGCCATATTGTGTTAAAGCAATACTTCCAGATACAGGCACACATGTATACAGGTCACAGAATATAGTCAACACGTTCCAGATGAAGATCTTGTTCACTTGTGATAGATCTTAGATATATCTTAATTATGTCTTAAAACTTAAATATAATAATTCTTGGATGACAGAATGTTCAACTTGAAATCTCCAGCATGCAACAAGTCTTATGAGTGCACCTGGGTGTGAGGGTTCCAGAACCTGAAGATGCCCACATATCTAAAGCTTTGTCCAGTCACCTTGTGGAGGCCTGGAGGTTATTAGAGTTTGTTGCACATCTTTTTTTAGAATGACAGGTTTGCTTTAATCTACCTTACCAATATGTAATATCATACTTGTACACTCATATGTGATGTTAGTTCAAGATTTGATAGTGACTCATAAACAGCAAGGTGGGATGAGTAGATTTGCCTTGATTTGCTTTGCAGAACTCTTAGGCGAGCATGTGCTGGGATTCTCCACCCACTGTGATGTAATAGCTTTAATAACGATGAGCCAAACTTCTTGATAAGATGTTGCTCTAAAAGGAAATATCATAAGATGTTGCTCTAAAAGGAAATATCATTGTTTCTCATTGGACATATTACATTATGGGGTATGGAATCCTGGGGCAGGGGGACATGCAATTTCAATGAACAGCACACATGTAGACTGATAAGGGGTCAATAGGGAACCCCTTTTTGCATTGGAAAGAGTGGTACAAGTCAACAATCTGCTTTTTTAATTTGTCCTTATTCAATACTGCAATCTGAAGTCAGATAAGCATAGATCAGTTCTTGCTAAAAACGGGCTATTGCCCTGTGCCAAATGCTTTTTGCCTACACCCACCATTTCCCTTGATGGTAATTCTTGTTGCTCCATTCAGACTGCCATAATATGGCATGATCTGAGAGACCATCAGTTGTCCATCTGGAAAGGAAAACAAAGGAAACATGTTTAGACTGCTCAAATGATGATATAATCTTACAATAGCATGGGAGCAGGTTAGACTTGTTTTTTGACATGGCAAAAAAGGAAAAAAAACAGTCTAGGACTGACCAAGACTTGATATGGCAGCTAAGAGATGCGGTCATGGAGCATGGCATTCCCACCATCAAATTACATGGAGGTATGCCTGTGTTTATCAAACATTGTCAAAGGTGTAAAGATTCTGCGTTTCATATATGTGAAATGTCTCACAGACACTGGGTGTCATGCAGGAGCAGAATAAACACAATGGTGACCATTCACGTTATTTTTACCTCAGTACATTTCACTTGTAAATCTGAAATTTGCTAGAAAAAACACAGCTAAGATTTCTTTATCACTACAGGATGCAGCTCTTCACTACAAATGTTCTTTAACTCTTCCCTACTGATTTCTTTTTTATGGTAGTGTATTTGTGGGAGAGGAAGTAGAGGAGTGATGGGATACTTGTGATGTGGAATGGACCCCATTGTGGGAACTTCACCCACCGTTGTGCAAAAAACTAAACCACGGTAGAAAAGACAGCTTCCTCATGCTGTCCCCTGGTCAATTAGTTGGCAAAAATCAGCACCGACATAAGTAGAAGGGAGCAATATGATTAAATGCAGAGACTATTAAGGGTGCCCCTTTAACAGTGGTTTAACTATTACTTCATAGTGGAACTGATTTTTTTTACTGAAGGCAGACCTGTGTTTAAAACAAAAATCCCCTTCCAGGGCAGGGAAAAAAAATTATTATTATTAATAATAATAGTAATAACAACAATAATAATAATAATAATGTTATTAGATTTTTCTCTATTGCTTGAAAAATATGTATGATAATAAAAAAAAACAGCACTTGACATTTTTTTCATAATAAAACATTACACAATGCCATAAAAAAAATATTTCAACAAACTTACGTGTATAGTGGATGGTGATGAGGAGAACCGATATAGCCAAATGCATGGTTCCGCCACTCAGTACCCACCACCAGCCGTGGGCTGGAAAAAAAAAAAATACTATCAAATATTGGCAAAATGTCAAGTTTAAAACACACATTTTAACTCATACATCTACATTCTATGTACAGAAATGATTTTCACTTACATGTACTCCACTCATGTGTGTAATAAGAATGCAACTAACCTTGCGTGTATGTTGCAAACACTGTTCCAGTAAATAAACCTGCCCTTTACTTCAGCATCTGCACCAGGATATAATTTACAGAGATCCCATCTGACTACAGCAGAGATAATTGCTGGGTTTATCATCCATAATCTGCCTGTTTAAAGGCTGGAACATCCTTCAATGGTCTCTATTTAGCATGACTGGACATTGATGAGAAAATACAGTTGGAAAAATAAGAAAAAATCCACCTGTCACACGTGTTGCAAGGAAATTGTTGTATCAATACATTGTCACATTCAAGATGACAAATTAAGTTAAAAAAAAGGGAATTCTCTGTTTGTATATGTAAGCAGAGCTTTTCTAAGGAGCCTATTTTTTAAAAGAAACCTTTCAACAGGAAATATTATCAATAAAGCAAAGGCCAACCTTTCAATGTTTTTTGGAGCTCCCCGGGTGTCCTGATAGTTAAATGTTGATTATGGGAAATGTAAAGTCGAGGACCGACCTGCCCGCTTCCACACCTCACTACTACTTCTTAATCATGGGCATGGGCATGTTCTATAGAAATAGTTCAGTATGAGTGGCAGGGAGGTCAGCCCAGTGATCTGATTCTAGAAATCAGCATTTGCATGTCTGGGTTGCCTGGGTTTTGGTGATACTGAGGTGCTGGAGAACACAATAAATGAACAAGCCCTCAAGCCATAACTGTACTTTTGGTACAGTCATCTTATAAGCCACCCCCCAGCATCCTCCTAAAAGTCTCAAGCTAGGTTCACACCTGCACTACAGCGCACAACACGCAGGAAGCGCGTCCTGGGTGTCATGTGGTCCTGCACAATGCAAGCAGCGATTGCTGCTCGGCCCCATTGGGGTGACATCCGCGTGGCAATCACAGAAAAAAGGTACAAGTACCTTTCTTTTGCGACACGCGACGCACGGCTGTTTTAGCCGCGATTGTGTTCAGAAGCACGACGAGAAACCACGCGATCCGCCCGGCGCGACTAGGGTGCCATTAGAAAAAAATGGCACCCACGGCGCAATCGGTTCACACCTTTGCAACTCCTGACCGCCCTGTAATCCGCGCGAAATCGTGCACGATTGCCGCACGGTGAGGTGTTGCTTAGGGGTGAACCTAGCCTCATACTAACCTCCCCTGACACCTCTGAAATCTTCCCTGTGTGGCTTACTGGGAGCTGTACAGCCACTGCTAAAAATCTGTCCCGGTGATCACTGTCACCGAGACAGAAAGTGATGTCTGGTAAAACCATTGTCAGTAGAACAGGACGTGAGGGTAAATCTCCCCAAAGGCAACACGGATAGCAGAAGACCTGACATGGGTTCTAATTCTCCCTTACCCATTAAAAACTAAAAAATTAACTTTTTGCTCTAATACACTTAAAACTTTTAGCATAGAAAAGGAATACTTTAAGCAGGGATGCTAACTAAATTTCTAAATATACAGGTGACTGTTAAAGTACTAACAAATCTTTATATCAAATCTATTTTTTTAAATGCAGAACAAGCCAGATCAAACATTACTTTCATTTAACTGATATATAAACAACTTCTTCCAGATACAATATAGTTTCCCTTCAAAGTTGAACTCCATCCAACACAATTTTTTAGTTTTAGATAAACTAGGGAAGGGATGTAACCTCTGTTGGGTCTTTATTGCTGTCTACGGCCCACTTAGAGAAATTTCCCCTCTCCTCCTGTCCCTAGAACACAACAAGAATTAAGGGGATCGCCTCCACAGGGACCCAAGCAACAACAAAAACTTGGCAGCAGTTCCAACTCTTCCCGGCTGCTGATAACAGTGATTGTATTGCTGTGTATCTGTTGGCGACATGTTTCTAAACTCCTGTCCTGGAGACACAACAGAAAGTGAAGAGAAATCTCCCCAAAGGCACACAGACATCAGTAAATTGGCAAAGGTAAATTGGCAAATTGGCAAAATCCCTGCTCACTCTACTTCAATATCTGAAACACATTTGAGACACAGGCTATCCCCGCACTGCAAGGGTTAACTGCTCATTTTTGGTCTAGGGGACCGAATAAAGAAGAAATACTCACCTGATCCTCGGTCCTGCAACAGAGACCGCTCATCTCTCTCCCACTCTCCTCAGGCTGTGGTATGTCCCTCGGCGTCCTCATGTTCAATACACCGTTTTAGATGTGATCACTCTCAGGACCAGTGGCATCACAAGGGGGGTGCAGCCCGCACCCGGGTGACACCATTGGAGGGGTGACTGACAGTCATTTTGGTGTCACCCCCTCTGAAAAGTCTAACAGTTGTTCGAGAGAGGAGGGGACCCGGCGACATACCTTATCCCGCCGGGTGACGTCCCCTCCAAGATGGCCACCGGCAGGTAACAGCGGCACCGCGCGTGACGTCACTGTGGGGTCTCACCCGGTACCCGCACCGGGTGTCACCCTGCCTCGGGACACCTCTGCTCAGGACCCTAGACTGCCAGGACCCAGAGAAGAAAAAGCTGCGGGGACCGAGTCCAAGACTAGGATTGGGGTGGGGGGAGTATTTCTTCTTCACTCAGTCCTCAAGACAAAAATGAGCAGTTAACCATTGCAGTGCTGGGTTAGCCCCACTGCAAGGGTTAACTTTTAAAATCCTTGCTGTTCCTCTTTAAGGTTTCTTTCTTTGATTCTTTCTGCTGATGCCTTACTACACGTTGCCTCCTACTACACCTTTAAAGTGAACCCGTGCACTCTTCAGAAAGTTCACAGCAGCACAGGATAAATGTTTCAGTCTGCAATCCTTGCATTAGCTCAAATGTAGATCTTTTCAGGTCATCTCCAAAAAATTTGGTAACATCAAAAATAGATTTAAAAAAAATGCTTCCAAGAGTCATCCACTCAGGCTAGTAATCCTCTGAAAAGTATGTCTTCTGAAAAAGGATAGCCAAAAGGTTGTGATGCCTTCTTCAGAGACACAGAGCGGAGGTGGAGTGTTTGTTTTGACTGTTGCCACCAAACTGTGCAAAGTTAATTGTAGGACCATACAGAGGTGAAAGCTTTTGTAACCTCCCTCTAGTGGTGGAAGGTGAGAGGTGAATTACACATTAGAGTGTAGTTTCAGTGAGTAGATATTTTAGGTTATTATTACAGTGTTTACCTTAAACTCCACTTCAAAAATAAAAACACCTTTAAAAAAATTAATATTGTAGATACTGTATAATTGTTGAACAAGCCATGTTGTAATTTATTGTTAATAAAATCACCTTAACATTTAACAACTGTATCTGCTGTAATGTTCTAAATTTGTCAAAAGAATTCAATGCAATATGGCGACCTGGAGGTGTCGTGTACACAGATGGTTTATGGAACGCCCCCAGAAAGGTCACTCCCTGCTTCTCTGATTGGCTGACTGATTTTCCCAGAAGTCTGTACTAATATAAAAGTATCATTTTTGGCATCCCTTGCAATAGGAATCTCATTTTGGTGAGATACTCCCTAAGAACTAATTACTACTAAAGGGATGCCGACACTGCACCTTTCCACATTACAAGACAGGAAGCCCACCAGGTGGTTATAATAATTCCGACCCTTTCAGTCTGGAAAGCACATGCTGCGACAAACAGCTATATCTTCAGAACAGATGCTAAGCAATCGATAGCCGACGAATCGACGATCGAAAACGTTGCCAACGTTTTCAATCGTCGATTTTAATCGACTTAATCGATTAACTGTTGCAGCTCTAGAAACAAGTAAGAAACTGCAACAAAGTTTGGTCAAATCCTTGTAATGTACACAGATCACCCAGAGAGGACTGATTTTTTTTCTCAACAAAAGTGGAATTACTCTTTAACCCTATAAGGACCACGCTTCAGATGCTTGTATTTCATTAAGGACCAAAGCAATATTTGCTGTGTGTGTTCCAACCGCAATTTCCAACTTTCTCATTTATTGCACCAACACATGTTATATACTGTTTTTTAAAGGAAAAAAAAGGCTTTAATTTGATGTGACATATGCATAAATCAGCAGAAAACAGTCACTCGCACTCGAAAACGAAATCCAGTCAATCACTTTATTGACTATGGTGATACCATCTCTAAGCTTCAATAAAGTGATTGACTGGATTTCGCTTTGGAGTGCGAGTAACTATTTTCTGGTTCTACAAGTTTTGCAGAGGCATCTGCTGTCGCTACTGCACCCACCCTGCTGTATTGGGTACTTTCCGGTCAGGAGTGCGATGGGATATATAGAATTTTAAGTTATATGCATACATAAGTTCTCATTTAGCGTATGACGGAAGCTTAAACCCTTAAAGGAGAACTATGGGGTCAGGGCTTTTCCCCATAGTTCTCCTAAGGGTGATGGGAGAACACAAACTAGCTCCCATTACCCTAAGCTCAGTATACCGCAAGCTACAGTTCGCCGTATACTGAGACGCCGCAGCCGGGACGGATCCCGACAATACTGTCTGGATCCACCCAGCTGCGGGATTGACAGCTGGCTCTGCCTATCCAGAGGCAGAGCCAGCTGTGCCTGCCCCCACCCCGTCCGTTTCGCCAGTCAGCGCTGGAGGATCGGACAGGTGAGGGGGGAATCAGTGCAGGGAGCCGTGAGTGACAGTCACGGCTCTCTGCAGGGACAGATCGAGAAGTGAGCGAGCGATGGTATGTGTTCGCTCACTTCCCGATCTACTGAGCCGATCTGTGACAGTTTTATTGTCACAGGTCGGATCAGATTATGAGGCTGAGTGGAAATCACTTGCCTCATAATTCTCCTTTAAGGACCCATGACGGAATTAATCCGTCACGGGTCCTTAAGGGTTTAAGCTTCGGTATGGCACAGACAACCATGACGGAATCATATGGCACGGTCAACCATGACGGAATAAGTGATTTTTGATGTTACTTCACATTTTTACGTGCACATTGTTTGATATTTCAGTTACTGTGTTAAGCGACATCTGAACAAATTGAAATGCCAGCTGCCTGTCTGTTATTTTGATCCAACAGCTTGTCTGTGACTGAGGAAGTATTGAAGTGTCAGGATCAACATGACAGTGGGCCAATTAGCAATCTATGGACATCTGGAATGGCAAGCTACATATTTCTTTCAGTAACATTTTACTTTAAAAGGAATGCACAGTGGTTTGTATAGATTGTCTTTATTTCTTAGGGTCAGGACTAAATTAATAAAATAAATCAAATAATAAATATTGTATTAAGTCATTTATAGCAAATGTCAAAGACTGCATGCGAAAATGATGAACTCTGATGCAGCCAGCAGGTGGACTACTTCACACCAGAACTGCATCACAACTGCATGTGTCTGCACAGCTGCAGTGCAATCCGTTTTGACAGTTTTTTTGTGTTTTTGCAGCAATTTTTGAAGCAATTTGATGCGCTTTTTCCCCCCAAAATGCAAATTAGACAATTATGTCACTTCCTTCTTCCTGCCAGAGCACTTCTAATTCTGCTTTTTTAGAAATATTGGAAATGTTCCGTTCCGATGTGTTTGCATTTTTTATGTGTTTTCATGTGTTCCGATGCAGCTAAAATGGGGCAAGCAGGATTTTTTTCTGACTGCATCAGAACAGACTGCACTGGTGGGAACAGAACTCCAGAAATCTCATAGGAAAAAATTGTGACGCAATTTAGATGCAGTTGCCAAACTGAACGGACTACATCGCAACTGCATCTGGTGTGTACTAGCCCTTAGGCTCCTTTTCACATGTTTTCCTGTATCTCTCATTTGTTGTATCAATCTTTCCTTTTAGTTTAGGAAGTCCATTTGCTCAATCTGAAACTTACAAATACAAGTGAATGAGGCAAGACAATTGATTCATCCCTTATCAGATGGCTGAATCTGAGGTTTCAATGAGGCCTTGTTCACACAAAATGCAGAGCAGATCTGCATGAGTTTCTGCACATGCAGTGCAGTGGGTTTGGTTGTTTTTGTTTGTGTTTTGTGCTGCGTTTTTGATGCGTTTCGGGCCTTTTTTGGTAAAAAAAAACAAAAACTTTTTTTATTTTTTAGTTTAAAATGGGATTTCAGTGCGTTCCAAGGCGTTTGCATACATTTTTGATGCATTTGCATGCGTTCCAGAGCATGTCCAGAGCAGGTAAAATAGGGCCTGCTGCAGTTTTTTTTACCTGCTCTGGAACGGAACGCTGCAATGTAAACTGGAGCTAAAAATGCCATTGGAATACATTGGACGCAGTTTTGTTCCGGTCTGTAACTGCTCTGCTCCTGGAACGCGCTTGGTGTGAACAAGGCCTTAAAGGCGTACCTGAAATGAACTTTTTTTTTATCCCTTTAGAAAACCCCTTGGGGCTGATTTCCTATGCTCCTTGGTTCCATCTAGTGATGGTAATGCCATGTGAAAAGAATTCTTCCAGTTATACGCTGGGGTGGAAGATTTATAAATTCGGCCCATAGTGTTCTGGGAATCATTTGTATCTTATTTGTGTATCACTCAACTGCAGATCCTCAAATCATCTCTGAATTGGTACTGACACCGTCCTTCTGTCTGGAGGGTGGCTTTTGTTCCTCATGGTCCCTGTGTATGTTATAAAGTAGCCACCGCTCCAAGCTCAGTCTTGTGATAGACTACAATCTCATGTTTAGTTCACTAATCTTTATTGAGATTGCAGTCTATCACAGGAGTGAGCTTGGAGCGGCTACTACTTTACAACACACACAGGGACCCTGGGGTACAAAAGTAGCCCCCCTCCAGAAGGAAGGACAGTGTCAGCACCAATTCAGAGATGATTTGAGGATCTACAGCCGAGTGATACACAAATAAGATACATTTTTATTAATAGTTACCCAGATAGCAAGCAATTGAGCTGCAAGTTTGAAAATGACTTGCTAAACTATTGCAGACTTGCCAAGCTTCACAATTTTGTTGCACAATTACAGCAAGCCTGCATTGCAAGTCTCCAGATCAACGTGCTTTGCAAAGGTGCTCTATACTTGCAGAGCTCTTGCTAAGACCTGCAGGACTCTTGCTAAGACCTGTCAAGCAAATTTGCTACAAATTCAAAAAGTGTCAACTAGAACTTGTGCTGCAAGTGTACTGCAAGTCTACAACTTGCCAGTTAACAAGAATTACAATGTAACCCTGCAACAAGTTTGTAGCAAGTTATCCTTGCTATCTGGGTAGGGTACTTGAATGTGTTTTT